GTCCCTCAGGGCTCGATTCTTGCACCACTCCTATTCAACCTGTATATGCTCCCAATGAGCCAAATAATGAGAAAGAACCAAATCGCTTACCATAGCTATGCAGACGACACACAGCTCTACTTAGCCCTATCGCCTAACGACTACAGCCCCATTGACTCCCTGTGCAAATGCATTGATGAAGTAAATAGTTGGATGTGCCAAAACTTTCTTCAGTTAAACAAGGACAAAACTGAAGTCATTGTGTTTGGAAACAAAGATGAAGTTCTCAAGGCATACCTCGACACTAGGGATCTAACAACTAAAAATCAAGTCAGGAATCTTGGCGTGTCTCTAGAGTCAGACCTTAGTTTCAATAGTCATGTCAAAGCTATAACTAAATCAGCATACTATCATCTGAAAATTTTTTCAAGAATTAGATGCTTCCTTTCCAGTCAAGACTTAGAGAAACTTGTGCATGCTTTCATCACCAGCAGGGTGGATTACTGTAATGGCCTCCTCACTGGCCTTCCTAAAAAGACCATAAGACAGTTGCAGCTCATACAGAACGCTGCTGCCAGGATTCTGAGCAGGACCAGAAAATATGAACACATCACACCAGTCCTTAGGTCTTTACACTGGCTCCCAGTTAAATTTAGGATTGATTTTAAAGTATTATTACTGGTATATAAATCATTCAATGGGTTAGGACCTCAATATATTGCAGATATGCTCACTGAATATAAACCCAACAGATCGCTCAGATCACTAGGATCACATCAGCTAGAAATACCAAGGGTTCACTCCAAGCATGGAGAGTCTGCTTTTAGCTATTATGCCAGCCGCAGCTGGAACCAGCTTCCAGAAGAGATCAGGTGTGCTCCTACAGTAGTCACATTCAAATCCAGACTCAAAACACATCTGTTTAGCTGTGCATTTACTGAATGAGCACTGTACAGCTTTAACTGCTTTAATACTGCTTTAATACTGCTCTGACTGGAAGAGATTTTGATGGAGAGCGGGAGAGTTTTCACTCCGATGAGGCGAGTGAAGAAGTAAATTACTTATACTGCTGAGAGTATAAGTAGTCGCTGAGAGCGTCATTAAGGGTAATGGCAGCAGAAACGGGTCTTATAATAATAAGGGTCTTATCATGCGAAACGATCGGTTATTTCAAAGCTTATTCCAAAAATGTAACTTTTCTAAGGACAAATGCTAGCCTAGCTCTATTCTGTGAGGAACGTTTGTAACGTCACGTAATACGTAATTACGTTCAAAAGGTCACGGGCGACGTAGCCGGAAGTACAGAATCAAAATCGTCCGACATCGTTGTTTTTCCTTTTAATTCCTTTTTTGTAAACGGCGTTTGAGTTAGTTTTCACGTTCAACCTATGCGTTCAACTTGTAAACACTCTGACTCTGTACTTCTGGCTACGTCGCCCGTGACCTTTTGAACGTAATTACGTACTACGTGACGTTGCAAACGCGCCTCACAGAATGGAGAAAGGCTAGCATTTGTCCTTAGAAAAGTTACATTTTTGGAATAAGCATTGAAATAACCGATCGTTTCGCATGATAAGACACTTATTCATCGTCTGGTGTCGTTTAAAGACATTTGAAGCTGCATCTGAAACTGTTATTAACACTATCTTTTGGACCTGAACCATCCGGTTCCCATTGAAGTCCATTATATGGAGAAAAATCCTGGAATGTTTTCATCAAAAACCTAAATTTCTTTTCGACTGAGGAAAGAAAGACATGGACATCTTGGATGACATGGGGGTGAGTAAATTATCAGCAAAAGTTTTTTCAAAAGTGAACTAATCCTTTAATGTTAGACAGAACGGTCAGAGACAAATTGAGTTGTGAGGAGAACCAGATGAGGTGTCTTGGTGAGTGAGTTTATAGATATATATACAGTACACGTTTGCTAAAAATATACACTGTGCTCACAATATTGATAGATTATTACCATCATATCAGGCCAGCAGACATGAGTGTTTAGGGTATACTATTAAATGTTCTGATCCAATCTGACTTGTACTGCTCATACACTGTTCCTTCGCTGGCCAGAGGAGAACTGGCCCTGACTGGGCCTGGTTTCTCCCAAGGTTTTTTTTTTCTCCATTCTGTAACCTGATGGAGTTTTGGTTCCTTGCCACTGTTGTTGCCTTGGCTTTTGGCTTGCTAGTTGGACACGTTTAATATTGAACAATATTATTGATCTGCCTCACTTGAGGTGGACATTGACGCAATTGTCTTCTAGAAACAAACTTTTTGTATTATTTTCATGTTATTACTGTGAAGCTGCTTTGAAACAATCTGTATTGTAAAAAGCGCTATATAACTAAAGGTCACTTGACTTGACTTAATGTATAAAAACTATACTCGAGTATATTTGTATACTAAAACATACTCAAGTAAATTTTTCACCTGGGTTATAACATAAACAAAATTAAAGATTTGAATATTTAAACAATCTGAGTAATTTTGTTTTTCAATTACAAGTTGCCTCTATTTAGGGTATGACTACATCACACTATTTGATGCCCATGTTGAACTCCGTCAAATCGCCAGGTTAATAATCCTTCGATCTGAAGTGAATGCTAGACACGACCGCATTCATATCGAAGCTGATGCGGAAGAGAAATCCCGTCTTTTCACCTGCACAAACCGCTATCAGGAACTTATGCATACCCCCATTAGATAGAGCCAGTAATCATCAGCCAGTTTGCAGATGATACCATTTTCATGAAGAAGCTAACTGAGGTCCCAAAAATTTTACAAATAATTAACACCTTCTCTAAAGCCTCTGGTTTGAAAATGAATTTGAACAAGTGTGAATTAATGCCAATTCATCAATGCTAACTGAGGCCTATAACATCCCTATAAAATCAAAAGCCAAGTACTTAGGAATGCTTATTTCAAAATATTCTGTTGAAAATGAAAATATGAATGTGTGGAAAGTATTAGATAGATATTAGTGAGGAAAGTATTAGATATTAGATGGCTTTATTGAAAAGATATAAGATATAAGCTTATTAGGTAGAGTATTTTTGACAAAGATGGAAAGCATTTCAAGATTAATCTATTCTGCATATACAATAGCTAATTCAAACAGAGCCATTAAAAAAATTAATCAGGTCAACTTTGGTTACATCTGGAGAAAGAAAACCCATTACATCAGAAGAGTAGAGATGACAAAAGACTGATGGAGGGTTACAAGCCATTGATTTTGATGGAACCCTGAAAATTAACTGGTTGAAATCCTTTTTAAACCACAATAATTTTTGGTTTCATATTCCCAGAGAATTGTTTAAGAAATTAGAAGGTATAGAATTTTTACTAAATTGTGATTTCACCGTTCAACGTCTGCCGATAAAATTATCCAAATTTCATCAACGGGTTTTGTTATACTGGAAGATTTTTTATAATCATAACTTTACACCCCACAATACACCATTATGGAACAATAGATATATTATGGTCAGGAATAAATCAATGTTTGAAAAGATTTGGATGGAGAAAGGTATTTGCTGTGTCCCATTTAATTGACAGCAATAGTGGAATTATATCATATGAGCATTTTGTGTTAAATATAATCTCATTTGCAATCGGGCAAGTTTTGAATCTATTACTAAAGCCATCCCTAAAGCTGTTGGATGTTAAATTAAAGAAATCTGTCTCTTTAATCCCACATCATCCAGTACTGTCAGTTGAAGGCCGTGATTTTAAAGGAAGCCAACTTTCAAACAAAACTGTTAGAAATAAATTCAACCACATTTCTTATCCTTTATTAGTGTGTAGAAACTCAATTCCACATTCTTTCTCAAAAGATAGCATTCACAGACTTAGGGCTGAGTATTTAAAATTCCCGTTACCCCCCAAAGTTAAAGATGTACATTTAAAAATTTTAAATGGCATATATCCATCGAGTGAATATTTGCGACTTAGATTTGGATTTGACTCAAATAAATGTTTATTTTGTGATGATATTGAAACCACGTCCCTGTGAAATCAAAATTGAACCTATTTACTTTGTTAGCGCATATTACTAGTCTTGTGGTGAACAATTAATCCGTGCAAGTAAAAATATATTTAAAAAATGTTTTACCTTGGTAATCTTTAATCAAAATCTGAAAAGTTACTTCCGGTCTGGAACGGTTTCTTTTTCTGATGACGTAGGTTTCACAGTTTGGGTGGGGAAACGCTTAACCACTCCCCCCAAACCGTTAGTTTGCTATGAGCGAGAGATGGAGAGGAGGAGCGCTAGAGTAAAACCCTGCCCTCTGTTCAATATTCCGTTTCACTTGGAAATACGTCACAGCACTGGAGAAAAATCGTTTGCAACTTCCGGTTCACATGGACTTTAATACTAATATCCTTATGCTGGGAAAAATTTTTGTACACAAATCGAAATTCCTAAAGGTGAAACCAAGTTCTATGCAGTTCATGAATTTGTTTCATTTACAAAAGCCCTCAAAGTCATAAAAGAGAAAAATGCAATTAGTCTTTTATCTGTCATAGAAGATTTAACAAAAAAAACTTGTATTTTATTTATTTATTTTTATTTATTTATATTAAGTTTGAATTCGTACGAATTGGTCGTGAGATAGGGTAGTTTATTTCATGCACCTGTTCTGTATTTGTTTGTCTAATGTAAAGAATTGTTACTATTGCCTTACTGTTTGTACATGAATAATTGTTCAAATAATAAATAAATAAATAAATAAAACTGCACACCGCACCCAGGCGCGAAAGATAAGCACTGTCCTTTTTCTTGTTATGGAAACCTATGGACTCGATCTAGTGTAAGATCTAATGCCACTCAGCAATTGGGTAAAACGCTGGCAACATGTAGCAAATCACAATCGTCGAAACAAACAGTTGTGGATCTCAAGTGCCTAAAGCGCGAACTGGTTGCTTGGTAGAAGAGTAAGTACGTTCCACAAAGCGTGCGCTGATTGGTCTGTGATGTTTGATAAGCACGTGGGTATAGAGAAGCTATAAATACTTCTTCAGCTTGAGCTGAGCTAGCGGCTTCTCTCATTGTTATTTAGTCTGTGTTCACGTGAATGTTGACGGAGATGTGTGTATTCTTTGTGCTCATGAAATACATTTTTGTGTGAATAATTTATTGTGAAATTTTATCCGTTTTACAAGGGTAAGTATCTTTTATATTTACGTGTTTTATGTCCCTGGTTAGTGATACTCTGGTATTGCACCCATTTGAATGACTGCAACAACAAAAATTGTGAGTGATTGCAGCTAGCTTTGCTATAGCCTATACTTCAACGTTATTAATATTTGTGTTGTAAATCTCGAACTGTGTAAGCTTAACGAGACGATAAAAGAGAGCAATACATTTGCTCTAATATAATTTAGGCATCAGGCTAACGTTACTGAATTGAAGTTTTGCATCGTTCTGTCTGGTGTGCAGCATTTAATCCAGAATATTTCTTATTCAGCACTTTATACAACTTAAAGGATTTACACAATGGTTGCAACAAGCACATTAAACAGAAACTCGGAATGCCTCTCTGAGTTTGCTGTTCGAGGATATGACCTGACTTGCATCGATCATGGTAAGAGATCATATTTTTTCCCATGTATGTTTATAATCTGTAATTTGTGGAGCGTTAACATGGTTTTCAAGCAATTCTACTGGATTTGAGCGCTTGACTTGTTTACGGCGCTCAGTGCGCTGATGGTGCAGAGCTGCAGCGGTGATGTCATATCAACAACGATGAGGTCATTCTGTTATCAGATCTTCTTTGTGCCCACGACTTTAGATTAAAGTAGTAATCGGGATTTTTCTTAACCGTTACTGCCTAAATTAGCTATTGAAAATTGGATATATTACAGCATCATTTTAGTCTTGCTAAAATTACGACCACCATTTTCCGAAACACCAAAACGTTTTAAATTGTTAAATGAATTTATTAAAGCATTTAGCTTAGTTCCGTTTCACTTGATGTTTTCAGATGTTTTGAGCTTGAATTTAGGTGTAGTAAAATGTATCAATTTATGACCAATGTCTGATAACTGGCTCAGAAGTTATTCTGTAAAAAATAAATAAATAAATAAATAAATAAAATAGAAATAGTTGTCAAATTAAGATTGTATGTCTAAGTTACTTTAGTAGTTAAGATTGTATGTACTTAATTACTTAACTATTATTTATTATAATACGTTATACATTATGGCTGTTCAGTTTGAAGTTTGCTAAAAAAGTATTTTAAATGTGGGGTTAGGTTAGTCTTCTATTATAGGAAAGTGTTCCAAGAAATGTTTTTAAGGGCTCTTTAAAGTGCTCTTTAAGGGTTTAAATAATTTTTGTAATCAAGATGCAAGGTGCAAGATGGTAAATGTTATCTGAACATAGGTGGAACCAAGAATCTATGATATCCAATCTGATCAAAACCAATAAATTAATAATAATATATATGTTCCAAATATATCATGCATCATTCAGTCTAACTTCATGTTTCTCTCTCTCTCTCTCTCTCTCTCTCTCTCTCTCTTTCTCTCCAGAAATGGAATTTTGGGAACGGTGTTTGGCAGAGACTTACCTGGGTGCAGAAGTGTGTGAGGAACAGACATGTCAGCAGCTCGCCCGGCTGCTTGAGGGCTGTTTGTCTAGGGCCAAAGCCAGCAAGCTGAAATGTGCCCATGTGCTGGTTCCAGAGACTCTCACCCTGCGGGTGGCACGGGACATGCTCAGGTTGGCAGCAGGGGAGCCGTGTGGGTTGCGGGGCTGTGTGCTGGATGTGCATCTTGAGCTGGAAGAGCAGCTGCACCGCTGTGAGAGACTCGAGCGACTTGCTTGCGACGCAAGTGTGGTGCCAACTTTTGAATTGACGTTGGTTTTCAAACAGGATGGTGGTGGCTGGCCGAGTCTCAGGGATTTTTTGCGCATCGGTGCGTGTTTCCCACCTGGCACCCACCGTGCACTTAAGCTTCGCCCTGGGTTTAGGCTTATTAAGAAAAAACTGTACTCCTCAGCAGCTGGAACTATAGTTGAGGAGTGCTAAGATGGTTGTGGGAAGGGCTGGAGTTTAAATATACAATTGAATGCGACTACGTTATGAATGTAAGAGTCTGCTGGGGAAGCAAAACTCAAGCTTTTGTAAGCTTTTCTTAATCAATAATAGAAGAGATTGTGTTTGGTGTGTTTGTTTTTTGGCACAAAATGGCATCGAACTAAATTTAGAATTGATTGTTTATAGGTATTTGCTGTAGTTTTTGAAAGCATCATGGATTGTGTTTAATATTGGCCTTGACCTTGTGCCAGCTTCATCTAAAATGGTCATAATTGTGTTCAAATGAAGGGTTCACGAAGTGTTTCCTTTTATATATCACACATGAATTCATTAATCATTAGATGCGTTTTCAAAGCGAGTTGAGTTACTAAGAGTTATTTGACTACTGAAGTTTTAAATTTTGGGTACAGGAAAGCATCACTCCAAAGGGGGCCATATTTCTGAATGTATTGGGTCTGTGCTCATGAAAGTCTTTCAAATGTAAATGTCAAGATTTCCAACTGGTCACTGTTCTTGTTTTTTTTTTTAAGAGAATATATGGATAGGGCTTTGTAAGGTGTTTATTTTAAAATATATATATATATTGTTTTATCCCTGTGTTCATCTTGTAATGGTCACTGCACAAATGTTCTTGTCTTTATCCTTCAACACTTGATCTTTGTTTTACTTATCTTCCCAACTGAATACGCCTCTATATTTTGCCTGAAGTGCTGGTACAGCAACAGAAAAATTTTATTTATAAGGAAGTTGAGAGCCTTGTCTATTTTGACAATAAACTATATTTTCAAAAGTTTGCAGGTACTTTTCTGTTTTGCCTATTTAAATGTATACAGTAGTTGACTCATTTCTTGCCTGTTAAATGACATAATTATTATTTATATATGTTTTTTATACTTAATGTCACTCACTGGACACAACTTTCCTTATCCACAGGCATAAACTTCATCCCATAAAGTGGTCATGAGTTGAGAAATCAACATGTCTCTGATCATTTGATATTTAAGAGGTTATTTTACTGTGAACTTAATGTCCTCGTTATTCCAAAACTGCTTTTATTGAATCAAAGCTTAGAAAAAGATTCCTTTGGATTTGACGCATTATGATGTAATTTTGCAATGACTGTTCACCTCTGCAAAATCAAATCCACACAGACCTCTACATCATTGCATCTTTGATTGTCCATTGAGACTTTAGTGAGATGAGGATTAGATAAGAGAGACGATAACTGGACTAAAAATAACTAGGAAAGTGGTTGTTTATAATGTCTCTCATTGACAATGCTCATCACTGAAACCTTTCATGCCAAGGTGTATATCTAAATATAATGCTCTGAATCTAATCAACACTTTTCACAATTAGTTAATCTTGATGCACTCTAAGAAGAAAAGGTTCAAAAATGAACCTTTTGAAGTATGTTACATTGAAATTGCAACTGTGGGGGAACCTTATGGTTCATTTTTGAACCTTTTTAAAAAGGTTCTAATTGGAACCTTCCCTTAAAGGTGCATTAATGAACCGCATGGCTTCCTTTTTGAACCTTTTTAGATACGATTTCCGTATGTATATGTAAAATATGTATGTTTGAAATTATTATTATTATACATTACTACTTTACTAATCTCATTTCACAACACAGACACAACCTATTATTCTTCTTGAAATATTTATTTAAAATAGGCATGTACAAATTTGAACACAGGACAGAACGTACAAATTAAGATTTACTAAAATTAATAGAATATTATATTTCATAAAAAAAAGAATGCAACTGAATATTCACAATAAATATTAACCCATTTAATATATTTACATCATGCATCAGTGTAAACGTCCTTGTTTTCTTGAACGGGCCATCCAGAAAGAGATTATTGACTCCTACAGTCTACTCAGAGATTGTAGTCGGAGTTGTAGACTCTTTTTATTGTGACAGGAAGTCCGGCTGCATCTTTCAGTTTCAATGTAACACACTCCAAAAAGGTCAGTGTCTTCTTGAGTCCTTTAGGATACTGGATCCCAAACACAAAATAAAACACACAGGAGGAGACCCAATGCCATCAATACGTCCTCACTCTCTACCTGCCCATCCATAGTGGTCATACTGCATTGGATGACCTTCCCTGCAGCCTTTAAGCACCATCTTTGGTGTTGAGATGCCAGGAGTGCTGGTCTGAGCATAGCCCTAGGGAAGAGAGGACACAAGTAATAACCACCTTCTCACATTTATCTGAAGGCAAACCTTATGAGTAAACAACAAATTAAATTAATGCCCATCATACAACTGCTCAAATATTTAAAAATAAAAATAAATGTAATTTTCTTTGACAGCATAGTTTGTGGAGAGCAACAAAACCTATTCTTTGCGTTGAAATTAGGTCTGTGTCACGATCACACACACAAGAGAGAGAGATTCATTTGCAGTAAATTTATTGGGATAATCCGTACTCACAATCCAGTCCAGGCAAAGGTCAAAATCCAAAAACGTAATCCAAAAACATAAAAGACAAACACTAGAATCAGGCTCAAAGACAACGGAAATGTGGGGACAATATACAACAAACACTAAACAGCCAGGGTATTTATACACACAGAACATGACAATCATGATGGCGAACAGCTAAATGCAATGAATTGTAATGTATTGTCGTCCAGTTCTTTTTCTCTCTCTCCTGACATCACCAGATGGCAGTGTAAGAAATGTTCCATTTACACAGAATTAAGTACCACACAAGCAAAAATGTGATGTTTACGTATGTGGACACCCAGTTGTAGAAGGTAAATATATATATATATATATATTGTAATATGTATCGTATTGTATTGTATCGTGGTATCTATCGTATCATGACGCATGTATTGTGATACGTATCGTATCGGGATGCCCTTGCCAATAGCCAGCCCTAGACGCCACTGGCTCCGGCTCAGGAACAGACGACACTGGCTCCGGCTCAGGAACAGCAGACACTGGCTCCAGCTGAGGAACAAGCAGACACTGGCTCCGATTCAGGAACAAGCAGACACTGGCTCCAGCTCAGGAACAAGCAGACACTGGCTCCGATTCAGGAACAGCAGACACTGGCTCCAGCTCAGGAACAAGCAGACACTGGCTCCGATTCAGGAACAGCAGACACTGGCTCCGGCTCAGGAACAGCAGACACTGGCTCCAGCTCAGGAACAAGCAGACACTGGATCCAGCTCAGGAACAGCAGACACTGGCTCCGATTCAGGAACAGCAGACACTGGCTCCAACTCAGGAACAGCAGACACTGGCTCCAGCTAAGGAACAGGCAGACACTGGCTCCAGCTCAGGAACAGCAGACACTGGCTCCAGCTCAGGAACAAGCAGACACTGGCTCCAGTTTAGGAACAAGCAGACACTGGCTCCGATTCAGGAACAGCAGACACTGGCTCCGGCTCAGGAACAGCAGACACTGGCTCCAGCTCAGGAACAAGCAGACACTGGCTCCAGCTCAGGAACAAGCAGACACTGGATCCAGCTCAGGAACAGCAGACACTGGCTCCGATTCAGGAACAGCAGACACTGGCTCCGACTCAGGAACAGCAGACACTGGCTCCAGCTAAGGAACAGGCAGACACTGGCTCCAGCTCAGGAACAGCAGACACTGGCTCCGATTCAGGAACAGCAGACACTGGCTCCGGCTCAGGAACAGCAGACACTGGCTCCAGCTCAGGAACAGCAGACACTGGCTCCAGCTCAGGAACAGCAGACACTGGATCCGACTCAGGAACAGCAGACACTGGCTCCGATTCAGGAACAGCAGACACTGGCTCCGGCTCAGGAACAGCAGACACTGGCTCCAGCTCAGGAACAAGCAGACACTGGCTCCGATTCAGGAACAGCAGACACTGGCTCCAGCTCAGGAACAAGCAGACACTGGATCCAGCTCAGAAACAGCAGACACTGGCTCCAGCTCAGGAACAGCAGACACTGGCTCCAGCTCAGGAACAGCAGACACTGGCTCCGGCTCAGGAACAGCTGACACTGGCTCCAGCTCAGGAACAGCAGACACTGGCTCCGGCTCAGGAACAGCAGACACTGGCTACAGCTCAGGAACAGCAGACACTGGCTCCGGCTCAGGAACAGGCAGACACTGGCTCCGGCTCAGGAACAGCAGACACTGGCTCCAGCTCAGGAACAGCAGACACTGGCTCCGGCTCAGGAACAGCTGACACTGGCTCCAGCTCAGGAACAGGCAGACACTGGCTCCGGCTCAGGAACAGCAGACACTGGCTCCGACTCAGAAACAGCAGACACTGGCTCCAGCTCAGGAACAGCAGACACTGGCTCCGGCTCAGGAACAGCAGACACTGGCTCCGGCTCAGGAACAGCAGACACTGGCTCCGGCTCAGAAACAGCAGACACTGGCTCCAGCTCAGGAACAGCAGACACTGGCTCCGGCTCAGGAACAGCTGACACTGGCTCCAGCTCAGGAACAGGCAGACACTGGCTCCGGCTCAGGAACAGCAGACACTAGCTCCGGCTCAGGAACAGCAGACACTGGCTACAGCTAAGGAACAGATGACACTGGCTCCAGCTCAGGAACAGCAGACACTGGCTCCAGCTCAGGAACAGCAGACACTAGCTCCGGCTCAGGAACAGCAGACACTGGCTACAGCTCAGGAACAGATGACACTGGCTCCAGCTCAGGAACAGCAGACACTAGCTCCGGCTCAGGAACAGCAGACACTGGCTACAGCTCAGGAACAGATGACACTGGCTACAGCTCAGGAACAGCAGACACTAGCTCCGGCTCAGGAACAGCAGACACTGGCTACAGCTCAGGAACAGATGACACTGGCTCCAGCTCAGGAACAGCAGACACTGGCTCCAGCTCAGGAACAGCAGACACTGGCTCCGGCTCAGGAACAAGCAGACACTGGCTCCGACTCAGGAACAGCAGACACTGGCTCCGGTTCAGGAACAGGCAGACACTGGCTCCGGCTCAGGAACAGACAACACTGGCTACAGCTCAGGAACAGATGACACTGGCTCCGGCTCAGGAACAGCAGACACTGGCTACGTCTCAGGAACAGGCAGACACTGGCTACAGCTCAGGAACAGGCAGACACTGGCTCCAACTCAGGAACAGCAGACACTGGCTACAGCTCAGGAACAGCAGACACTGGCTACAGCTCAGTAACAGGCAGACACTGGCTCCAGCTCAGGAACAGCAGACACTGGCTCCGGCTCAGGAACAGCAGACACTGGCTCCGGCTCAGGAACAGGCAGACACTGGCTCCGACTCAGGAACAGCAGACACTGGCTACAGCTCAGGAACAGGCAGACACTGGCTCCAGCTCAGGAACAGCAGACACTGGCTCCGACTCAGGAACAGCAGACACTGGCTCCAGCTAAGGAACAGGCAGACACTGGCTCCAGCTCAGGAACAGCAGACACTGGCTCCAGCTCAGGAACAAGCAGACACTGGCTCCAGCTCAGGAACAAGCAGACACTGGCTCCGATTCAGGAACAGCAGACACTGGCTCCGGCTCAGGAACAGCAGACACTGGCTACAGCTCAGGAACAAGCAGACACTGGCTCCGATTCAGGAACAGCAGACACTGGCTCCGACTCAGGAACAGCAGACACTGGCTCCGACTCAGGAACAGCAGACACTGGCTCCGACTCAGGAACAGCAGACACTGGCTCCGGCTCAGGAACAGCAGACACTGGCTCCGACTCAGAAACAGCAGACACTGGCTCCAGCTCAGGAACAGGCAGACACTGGCTCCGGCTCAGGAACAGCAGACACTGGCTCCGGCTCAGGAACAGCAGACACTGGCTCCAGCTCAGGAACAGCAGACACTAGCTCCGGCTCAGGAACAGCTGACACTGGCTCCAGCTCAGGAACAGGCAGACACTGGCTCCGGCTCAGGAACAGCAGACACTGGCTCCGGCTCAGGAACAGCAGACACTGGCTACAGCTCAGGAACAGATGACACTGGCTCCGGCTCAGGAAAAGCAGACACTGGCTCCGACTCAGGAACAGCAGACACTGGCTCCGGCTCAGGAACAGGCAGACACTGGCTCCGGCTCAGGAACAGACAACACTGGCTACAGCTCAGGAACAGATGACACTGGCTCCGGCTCAGGAACAGCAGACACTGGCTACGTCTCAGGAACAGGCAGACACTGGCTACAGCTCAGGAACAGGCAGACACTGGCTCCGACTCAGGAACAGCAGACACTGGCTCCAGCTCAGGAACAGCAGACACTGGCTACAGCTCAGTAACAGGCAGACACTGGCTCCAGATTAGGAAGAGCAGACACTGGCTCCGGCTCAGGAACAGCAGACACTGGCTCCGGCTCAGGAACAGGCAGACACTGGCTCCGACTCAGGAACAGCAGACACTGGCTACAGCTCAGGAACAGGCAGACACTGGCTACAGCTCAGGAACAGGCAGACACTGGCTCCAGCTCAGGAACAGCAGACACTGGCTCCGGCTCAGGAACAGCAGACACTGGCTCCGGCTCAGGAACAGCAGACACTGGCTCCGACTCAGGAACAGCAGACACTGGCTACAGCTCAGGAACAGGCAGACACTGGCTCCGGCTCAGGAACAGCAGACACTGGCTCCAGCTCAGGAACAGACAGACACTGGCTCCGACTCAGGTACAGCAGACACTGGCTACAGCTCAGGAACAGACGACACTGGCTCCAGCTCAGGAACAGCAGACACTGGCTCCGGCTCAGGAACAGACAACACTGGCTACAGCTCAGGAACAGACGACACTGAAATCACAGGGCTTAAGTCAGGGTAGAAATTAGAAAATGGCCTTTTATTTATAAATTACAATTTTATGTAAAAATCGTACTAACGTAAGTGCACCTCAGGAAACATAAAACGTAAAAAATGCAGTCCATGACCCCTTTAAAATGCTAAAAGGCACCCTTTTGTGGCTTTTGGGGTATCATGAAAGACATAAATATTTGAGGTCACCAATTTAGTGAGCATGTGCATATGAATGTACAGGAAATATCTACAGCACTTGTTATATTTCACCTCTTCTGTTAAAGCTGCAGTCCGTAGCTTTTTTGGGGTTAAAAATTATCCAAAATACATATTTGAGAAAATAGCCTACAACCAGCAGTGTCCAAAACTATCTGCTTGCCTTAGCTTGATTCAAAGCGGTAAGCTTGTAATAATGTTTTTAATTCCAGTGGTACTGATGGATTTCCACGGGAGATTCGAACATATCTTTGCGCTATTACATCACATCTGTACACATAAAAAAGGAGTCTTGGCTAGAATAAGCTATATTGTGTGTGAGGATGTTGAAGGTGGAGATTTATACCCTATTCTCACAGCACTTGATATAAATAAACTTAGCAAAAGCAGATGCAGAAAGGTTCAAACGACAATCTCCAGTGACAACAGATTCACCGGTTGTAAATGCAAAAGACATTACATGTAGTCATGCAATGCTGACATTGTTAACATTAAAATTTGAGAACAAAGTATTACTTGAAGTTTTGTGTGATATGATAAGCAATTTTTGGTCACCAACTATTAGTACTTAATCTGCAGCCAGGACTGATTCTGATAGAAAAGTTGCAAATTCTTTGATAATCTTTATGCTGCCCTGGTGGCCTGTATATAGCCAGCAGTAGCCAGCAGAATTCTCAAATGTGATTTATCATTTACACTATATATTTCTACACTAAGCACCAATACTTTAAAATAAAGTATTTCTTAGTGGTTTTGAGGATATTACTATAAATTACAGCAACACCTCCCCCTTTGCCTTTCAGACGAGGTTCATGTTTATAACTGTAATCTTGCGGGGTGAACTCATTTAAACTAATGTGATTGTTTGGTTTTAGCCAGGTTTCTGTCAAACACAGCACATCTAGGTTATAATCTGAAATCATATCATTAACTATGAGCAATTTTGAAGTAAAGGATCTAATATTCAGCAACCCAAAGCTTTATAATTTGCTCATCTGTATTATATCTGTTTTTATTTGTTGAACATCAATTAAATTTTTAATCTGACGTTTTTTGGATGTCCAAATTCGGGGAACAGTCTCTATATGATATCTAGGTGAAAGGGCCGTGGTGGGATTTATCTGACCTTGATGACCTTAGAAAAGCCTTGATGACCTATCTTGACCTTAGAATAGGCTATAACATCATGACTACATGAAAAGAGCTTTTACTGTTATAAAAATACAGATTTGTGAGCATTAGTGGAACTGAAGTTGTCAAAATAAACACAAAATACATGTAATTGTTGTCATTTTGGTGAATCTGGCAAATAAGCTGTGTTGTCATATGAGCTTGTGCAGCCACTCTTGAGAAGATGCACCTGCTGAGTCAGCCATCTGCTCTCAAATCGCTTTTGCGATACACTTTGATGCCATACGTCACAGTCACGTGGTGTCAACCACAATGCACGGCTTCAAGTCAGCTGCCAAAGTTGAACAAGCCTGGCTGCATCAGAGTTCTCATACTTACTAGACGAAAAACAGTATGTGACAAAAGTGTGTCTGAATTCACAGTACTCATAAAAGAGTAGGCAAAAAGTGCGCGGATGACCTACTACTTCCGGTGAGATTCATGCATCTCACGGGGATTACCGGTGATCAGTCTTGCAGATTTTGCTCATTCTGAGCCTATGGACCTTTTTAATATTTGGTTTCTCCGAAGCGGGAGTCGTGGCAGTTGGATAAAATTCTATAGTGAACTAGCTGCAGTAGCTAGTTTTTTGTAATTGTATACAATGGTAATATAATGGTATAGTAGTGTGTATAATGGTAAATATAGCCAACACAATTTTTTTTTTTTTTTAATTATAATATTTAAAAAACCTTAAAACGTATCATCACAGTCTGTGAAAAAGGCCCATTGGTTCAGTGTAGGCCCTACATCGGTTGTACACTCATTATGGGCTATATGCAAATAAGTTCCACATTTGATGCAAGGATGCTCTTCAGTTTCCAGTTGGGGAGATTAAAGTGGAGGAAAACTGAGGAAAACGGGATTATGGCAGAGTCTTCAAAATTTACTGTCCTCCCGTCTTTGAAACTAAACTTTCATATGTTTAGATGTCATTTTATATATATTTATTTTTATTTAATACAATTTGAAAAAGAAGCATAAACACAATGCTGTTTTGTCTGTTTTTGTGACTAACGTTTCTTTAGTATAACCGAGTATAAAATTCAATATAAATTCTCTGTATTGCATTGGACTCTACGATCGGTGGAAGTTATCGAACATCCTTAGACTTTCACAGGAAATACCACCGTGTATAGAGCCCATTGCCAGACACCACTACAAATGACTATTCACTCAAGTAGTGCACTGTTTAAAGGGGAATAAAAATAAATAAATAAATAACTTATTCTTTTAATCAGCTTTCAGCTTTCTTTCAAATAATTAAGTATTTAGACTCTCTCATCCAGAAGTAAGCATTCTTTAGAATTAATTCTTCCACATCTTCTAAGTTTCTTTAGCATTGGTGGCAGTTACAATACACACCATTGCAGCATTCAGTTATTCATTTTGACATTAGTAAAAAATAAGCAAAAAACACCCTCATGAAATGAGGCAGCAAAATATATAATACCGGTAGTTTACATTTTTCGACGTTTGATTAAGTGGCATTAATAGACACTTAACAGAAAAATTTAATAAAATCACACTCTCCTCCTTTTTATTATGAGAACTACAGTATCCGACAAAACAAAGTTAAATAACATTTCCCCTTTTGCAAAATCCGCAATCACTGGCCAATGCATGTGCCAAGCAACAGAACACAAGAGCTGATTGGCTAGTTGCCAAGCCTAATGTCCCGGATGTGGAAACAACATGATATATTTCACAGAGAGAAGGCGCGTAACTCAGTTTGAATTGGGTGAGCGAGTGTGTGTTTTCGCGGTTTAGCTGTAGTAACTGCTGTTTACAAATTATAAAATGGTAAGTTTTTTTTGTTTTGTGTTTATTTTGTGACGCTCTTTTTTTGAAAGGTGCATAGCAGGTTAAAAGTACATTTAGAGTTATTTTCCTAGTCACTGTTGAACAATATTATGCGGCTAGTTAGCTTAGCTCCGGTGCTAACTAGCGTCGTGTAAACACGAGGGCGCGAAACAAGTGAAATATCGACTTGCTTAAATATGGCCATGCACGTAATGCAAAATGTGTAATCGCTTCAGTTATTTGTTATATCACGATTAGTGATTGGTGCTGTTGGTTTCAGGCTGGGGGCAAAGCAGGAAAGGACTCCGGGAAGGCGAAAGCGAAGGCTGTTTCGCGCTCACAAAGAGCTGGACTGCAGGTCAGACCCTTCGTGATGAACAAAGGCCCTTGATTGAAATTGCTGCATGTAACAATATGGTTTGCTAATAACTACTGTTAGGATGGTGTTTACTGTTTTTTTTTTAACGTAATTTCACATATGTTGTGAGCCAGTTTCCAGTGGGTCGTATTCACAGACACCTGAAGTCCAGGACCACCAGTCACGGGCGCGTCGGAGCTACTGCCGCAGTGTACAGTGCTGCTATTCTAGAGTATTTGACTGCTGAGGTGAGTAACATTTAAGGGAGACTGCAGTAGGTTGAGACTTTTACAAACATGTGATTTAACATGCCTGTGTTCACATTAAGGTACTCGAGCTTGCAGGAAATGCTTCTAAAGATCTGAAGGTGAAGAGAATTACCCCACGCCACTTGCAGCTGGCTATCAGAGGCGATGAGGAGTTGGACTCCCTCATTAAGGCAACTATTGCTGGTGGTGGTAAGTACTAATTCAACCTTTGAGTTTTTAAATTTGTATTTTTAAATGTGTGACCCAACCTTTTCCCCTCCTTTTTAAATCCCTCCCTTGTAGGTGTCATACCCCACATTCATAAGTCTCTTATTGGGAAGAAGGGACAACAGAAGACCGTGTAAACAATGGTGTCTTAGGACATGAGTGTTCACAAATGTATTGTTTGCCCTGTAGATTTGAATTTTAAAACTTTATATTGTCCATCTTTGCATTTACTCATTTCTGGGGTATTTTTTTAAACATGGCTTCAGAGAAGCTTTTTTTGCTTTTTGTGTCCCTTTTATAATGTCTGGCTAGTCTTGTGTTTTTTTTTTGTTTGTTTTTTTTTTTGCAATTTGGTTTTTGAACTTGTGAAATATCAGAATTTTATTTCAATAAAGCTCAAAGTGCCAATATAAAGGTCCAACTGTTGATTTTAAAAATCGGTGAAGTTTATTCACAATGTAAGGGGCTTTGTTTTTTTGTGAGAACTTTCTATTGAGGTTGTCTCAATAGACATTTGTAAAAATTAAAATAAAGCCATTTAAATCCTTATTTGCATCCCACAACTCATTGCAATCTTTATCCAGTTGAAGTCTTATATATATATAAATTGCACTTTTTACAATATAGATTGTTTCAAAGCAAATTTACAGCAATAACAAATTTTCCAGATTGAAATAGCATCACACTCCAGCTTAAGTTCAGTGTTTCAAGTTTGGTTTTAAAAGCTAAGAGCTAAGTTAATTTTATATATATCTAGCCACTCTGTGAACCATGATATTCGGTTCTTTTATAATAGTATCAATGCAGGTAGATAAGTATTGTTGAATATTAAAATGTAAATTTAATGTCCCCAACTAAGCAAACCAATGGCAACAAAGGTGGAAAAAGGTAATGGTGGTACCGAAGACTGAGCCAGTTTTGTTGGAAACGTTCATCTGACCATGTTCCAGTAGCAAACAAGAAACGGTAGAGGGCAGCGTTACACTTTTATTTCCGCTATAACGACCCCATCAATTTAACGTATACATTTTAAACTATATCTGTTTAACGTTAACTATTTTGCGGCAGGCACCAAACTTGATTCCGATGTATTAAATTGCAATAATTTCAAAGTAGTAGTGGTAATTTGCATAAAATATGCAGAAACAGGGTTCGCACTTACACTCGTCCATGTTATTGGTATGATTTATTTTAAAACAAAACACTTTGGTATAAATTAATTTAGGTCAAAAGCATAGAAGACAGTATAAAAGAACAAATTACTTCAAGTTTTTTTTTTTTTTTTACGTTTGTGAATCCTTCTCTACAATAACCTCTCGAGTAGGCCTATTTGGAAAGATGTTCGTCTGTTCAAAATATTTTACAAATTTTGTATTTGTTCTATAAGAAATACTTGTATTATTATTATAAATTTGATACATTTAATAATAATAATGATAAATTTTAATTATTGTGAATTTCGCATTTTTTTCATTCACGAATGCAAATATACAAATTATAATTACCTCATTATTCTTTGTTTACTCGGCATGTCTATGAGGAATTAATATTGCCGTTTATAAAAAATATGTAAAAGAAAGAAAAGAAATACGTCTAAAATAATGTTATGTGATTTGTCACTGTTTATTTTGATGATAATGAGTATCAAAGTAAGATTTGCAGCAGTATTAATTAAATTTTTTGAAGGCTTTAAAAGTGTGCTGCGTTCAAACCCAAATCTAGACGTCTGTCTGTGCCGAACAACAAGAAGGCGTTTCCCAATTATTGGGCGTTTTCAAACCCGTCTAGGCATTTTCCAACCATCCAATCAAAACGTACGGAACGGATCCGGAAGCCCTTTCAGAAGCGGAGATGCGTATTTCTCGTTTTCTTGATTTTTACTATTATGTCTATATCGCGACAACATTTTCACAAAATAATATACAGTCTACAGTTACCTATTTTCTTTAAAATAGAAATTCTTTCATAAACCAAATTTCACGTTTTTATAAGATAGGCGTTACAGATCTTGTATAGGCTATGTGTGTATTATATTTTATAATATTCTCTCCAACCTACATGTAATTTGTCTCTAAATGTAAACCTTAAAAGGTTTACATTTAAAAACAAGTATTAAAATTACGTTGTTACTCAACTATTTATAATTACATAGTTTTAATTTCGTTTTGTGTGTGTGAACACAACATAAATCAAGTTGTAACGTATCGGTGATTAACAAGGTAATTAATAGCAATTTCCAATAATGATATCAAATCATACTGTAAAGCAATGGTGAAAATGATTGTATTGGTCTTTCTCACCTGTATTTTTCAAAATATGTTTATATGTAATGACTGATATTTAAGTTATATTTGTAACTTACATTAAATTACATATAAAGTAAAACATATTGACCTTTAAAATAAGGTAAAATGTGTTTACTTAGAATAATGACTCTGAAAACATTAGCATCACTTTATTGACCAATATGATGAAAAACTGGATTGATAAATGCAGCATTCTACTGATAAATAATACATGTGGCAAGTTCAAACATGAGGAACACATTGTATATGGCAAGCCGTTTTAACATTTAATAATTTTAACCTACAGTCTCTATTTTCATGCTACTAGTACTTATTTTTTAGATACTATCTATTCCAATAAGTAGTACTTATTCACTAGCTACTAGTGCCTTTTCTTTAGATACTAGTGTTTATTCTTTAGGTAGTACATTTTTAAAGATACTAGTACTTATTCATTAGATACTAGTCCTTATTAGATACTAGTACTTAATCATTAGATGCGATTCCTTATTTATTAGATACCAATGCTTATTCATTAGTTACTAGTACTTATTCATTAGATAGTAGTACTTATTAATTAGATACCCGTACCTATTAAATAGATACTAGTACTTATTCATTACATACTAGTACTTATTTCAATAGTGACTAGTAACTATTCTTTTGTTACTCGTAACATTTTTTTTTTTTTTTTTTTGCCATTGACTTCTATGGGGATCTGTCATTCAGATATCAACTGTTCAGTTCTGAGTAGTATGTATTCCAATTGTGACTAGTACATATACATTAGATACTAGTAGTTATTCATTAGGTACTAGTGCCTATTAAATAGATACTAGTACCTATTAAATATATACTAGTATTTATTCCAAATGCTACTAGTAAGAATTTTTATTTTACCAGTAAGATTTTTAATTGAACTCTACAGTGGCCGTTCTGACTAGTCATAACATAAGACTAGTAAAAAAGCAGTTGTGACTAGTAAAATAAAACATTTGGAATAAATACTAGTATCTAATAAATAGGTACTAGTATCTATTGAATAAGTACTAGTATCTAATAATAGGTACCAATATCTAATGAATAAGTACTAATATAGTATCTAAAAAATAAGTACTAGTACCTAATGAATAACTACTAGTATCTAATGTATAGGTAGTCACAATAGGAATACATACCAGTCAGAACTGAACAGTTGATATCTGAATGACAGATCCCCATAGAAGTCACTGGCAAAAAATGTAATTTGTTACTAGTCACTAATAAGTAGTATCTAATGAATAAGTACTAGTATCTATTTAATAGGTAATAGTATCTAATGAATATGTACTAGTATCAAATAATAAGCACTGGTATCTAATGAATAATACTAGTATCTAATGAATAAGCACTAGTAAGTAATAAATAAGCACTATATCTAATAAATAGGGACTATCTAATGAATAAGTACACGTATCTAATAAATAAAGACTAGTATCTAAAGAATAAGCACTATAGCTATTGGATAAGTACTAGTACTTAATGGAATAGATACTAGTATCTCAAAAATAAGTACTAGCTTGAAAATAGAGACTAGTAGTAGGTTTAAATGATTAAATGTTAAAACGGCTTGCCTGAAACATTAGATGCTTCCTCCAGCCTCATAGAAACAGTTGTCTCCGCAGTATCCTTGGAAGTCATCAGAACCCCTGCAATACACCTCTTTGCCCTGTTCCTCTGTAGCCTTCCCCACAGTCTTTGTCAGTCTCATAACACCTGAAAAATGTTATCATTTATCCATTATGTTAGTCTATAGGTTTGACTACATGTGAGGTATTAATGCCTGCACTGACATAATGAAGAGTGTTGAACATTGACTACTGAGCTGATCTCACTGCTAAAAAGGGTCAAATCATGTTTCTATTTAAATCTAATGATCTGCAGAGGTTTTTGTAAGGGTTATGACTGAGATATAATATAAATAACAGAAAAATTATAAATATTATATTAAAATTGATATTAAAAATAATAAACTTAACAAGCAATGATTGTTCAGCTTTTCTTGTTTTCTTACAGCGCACCACACACTCAAACACCATGTCATATACAGTATGAAGGGAGTGGTTTCTGGACTGAACGAAAACATAATTTAACCAAAATATTATAGTTTTTAATAATTTTTTAATAAGATACAATTTGCAGTTAGATTAATGTGCACAACACTTTCCTTAAAATATATTTATAGTTATTTTTTTATTTTTATTGAATTAATAGTACATATTAGTAGGCTACCTATACCCCTGGTTTCACAAACAATTTTAAAGCCTAGTCCTAGACCAAAATGTAAGTCTGTTCCAACTGAATCAACTTGCACTGACTGATCTTAAAATATATCACTGCCTGTGTTTTGTCTCAAGATGAACACCAGTAATTAGGACATTTTTTTCTAAGCATGTTTATGAAAATTATTTAAATGTCCTAATTATTTTAATTCCTTCTATGTAAAGCACTTTGAATTACCGTTGTGTATGAAATGTGCTATATAAATAAACTTGCCTTGTCTAACTGAACTATGGACTAATCCTGGTTTAGGCTAAACCCTGTCCCTGTCTGTGAAACCGGGCCATAATGTTCTGGACATAAATGGCACCTATTCGGTGAAATAGCCCATTAACATTTGTTTACATTGTTTTAGTCTGACAAGCTAACTTTAGGCTAACTATTTTTTTATATATTATAATACTGGAAAAAAAATAGGAAAGCAAACTACCAATATCAACACTAATGTAACAAACTTATGCTAATAATGGGTAGCGATAGATTGAGTGGCAGACCTCTATAGCTTTTCTTAAAGGGTTAGTTCACCCAAAAATGAAAATTAAGTCATTAATTACTCACCCCCATGCTGTACCAACCCCGTAAGACCTTCGTTCGTCTTCGGAACACAAATGAAGATATTTTTGATTAAATTTGAGAGCTGTATAACTACTACATTGGCTCCTAAGGGACTGCCTCTTGACGGCCCAAAAAGTCAATGAAGAAAATGTTTAAATATCCCAAGTGACTACCGTGGCTCAACTATATGTTTATCAAGCGACGCGAATACTTTTTGTGCGAAAAAACAAACAAAAATAACGAGTTTATTCGACTATTTCTTTTCTTCCTTGTAGGCCAGAACGAGACTTCCTTAGATTTCCACGACGCATGTGCGAGATTTGCGATCTGCTCACACCAGCTTACACTACTTCAGATCGCAATTCTCGTGCATGCGTCGTGGAAATCTAA